TCGGTCCCTCACTCTCCCACCCTTTGTCGCTCGCTCTCCTGTTTGATTCCCCTCCAGTTAAAAAAGGGAGCCAATTAAAGGCACCCCAGCTAGCCCAGCCCAGCCTCTGTCCAATTTCCTCGCCTCCCCCAGGACCAATTAGAGAAAACAAAACAGGGCTGGGGGAAGCGGGCTGCCTGCTCGCTCTCTCTCGCCCTCGCTCTCTCTCTCTGCTCTCTCGCTCTCCCTCTCTCATGCCCTCCCCCCCAGCCTCACCCCCTCTACCCCCTTACCCTCCCCGGTCGGAAAATGTCAGAAAGCAGAAATGGATCCATCTATCCCGGGGACAGAAGCCGAGGGACGCGGCTTTCCGCGCGGGCTCTGCCGCCGCGCGTCCGCCCGCCCTTGCACGCCCGCGCTGGCTGCCCAAGCCGGGGGGCGCCAAGGCCAGCCCTCCCGAGGGACTGGCACGGCGGATCGCCCCGGGAGCCCGCGCCCGCAGGCCGCGGCCGACTTTGTCAATGTTTTTGCACTTTCGGGGAGCGGGACCCGAGCCGGGGTCCAAGGACCAGGCCCGGGCGCTGGCGGCTCGAGGAGCTCTGCAGGCTCCCGAGCTGACCGCCTGCTGTCCGTCTGCCAGGTGCTCGGCGCCCCGGAGGCCCCCGGGCGAGCCCCGGCCCCTTCCCAGACAGCCCAGCCTTCTCCCCGCGTCGGGCGTGGGGGCCACGGTCCGAGCAGCGGCGGAGCCGGGGGCAAAGAGCGCACTCCGCGGCCCACAGGATGCCCACAGGTTTGCCGGCAGGTCCCCCACTCCCCAATTCGCAAGAGCTCCCTTACGGTACCCCAACTCTGCTGCTCGCCCCATTGGGCCTCCGGGTCCGGACCTCAGGCGCCCCCAAGCGCCCCAGGGGCGCACGCCCTTCCCTCCCCTGAGGCCGCGCCCGAGTCCCGACTCCCGGGGCCTCGGCTACCTCCAAAGGGGGCTGTCCTCCGGAGGAGGAGGGGAGAGCCGTCTTCCTCACGGCCCTCGGGGAGGGGCAAAGGCTGGGAATCTCGGCGGGCGGCCTCCCCCGCGCCTCCGATGGCGCCTCCCGCAACCCAGGTCCTGCTAATCTCACCTGCTCCACCTGTCGCTGTCGTGGATCCCCGCTTGTGCGCCGAGATTGCACTCGGGCGGCCCAGGGGAGCGCGGACAACCGCGGCAACTAATAAACCGGGAGATTTTAAACCTTCCGCGCCAGCACCCCCCCCCCACCCGCGGAACTGTATTGTACCTTGGTGGCGGTTCCACGACGCTGTGTTTATCAAAACGCAGAGCTACACACCGATATACACCGAGACGTTCACTGTACTGTACAGTAAATTTAAATAATAATAATATACTATCCTCCACTTCCCTCTCCTTCTGAGCCCCTCCCCCTTAGACACTGCAGGGGCAGACCCCGGAAAAGCCAGGAGGTAGCGGGTGGTGTGCTGGTGGGGAAGGGAGAGGCAGTGGAAATGACAAGAAGGCTTGGGGAGGTGCCACCGCCTGGGGACCTTGTCAGCTTCTGTTCTGTCCCGGCCTGGAAATCCAGTGTCCCAAACCCCATGCACCCCTCACCCCACCCCATTATCACCTTTGCCCCACCCCCTTCCTTGCCGTGTGTGTTCAATGCTGAACAAAGAGTCAGACCCAAATTCGTGCCAGGCGCCCAGGACATTCCGCTGTAGACCTGTAACGGAATGGATGGATGGATGATGCCCATTACAGGGCAGAGACCAGTCTAGGCTGTCCCCACGGAAACCCTCCTTTCTACTCTCCCAAAATCATTACCCCAAGAGGAAAAAAAAAATCCTTTTCCTACCCCTGCAAGGATAGGGAATCATACTGCCTTGTCGCCCCACCCCCACCCCCCTGTCTGAAAAGGCAGTGGCACTCAAGGGTTCCTTGACAAGTAACTTCCTTTATTGTCATCTTTTCCCATTATTCAAAGATCCCTGGCGATGACCACCTCCTCCAGGAAGCACCCAGTGGGTGAACACAGCGATTCTGACTCTCTTGGTTCTACCCATGCTGAGCAGAGTAAGGGCATGTCATTGTCATGGGAAGCCAACCGCCTTATTTCCCAGCCCCACACAGTGGTGAATGGCTTTTCTTTGCCTTTGGAGTGCTGGACTGGGTGACAGGGCTCAGCCCTTTCCCAACATAGGCTCACACTGGCCTGGAGAAGAGAGAAGATTTATGCAGGGGAGGGTCAGAAAGCTAGGGGGGCACAGAGGGCCGGCTTCAAGCCAGGTTGGGATTGAACATTTGCTTTGGCTAATCCACTTGTGAATACTCGGCAGCTAATTGTATGCAGTGTAAATACCTTGACAGCCTGTTTGTGTGCGCCTGTAAATTCAGTCATCTCTTCCCTCAAGTCAGCCCGCCTGCTGCCTCTGACAGTGCACCCCCCCTCCCCGCCCCCAGCCTGACCATGAGAGAAGGGAGAGAACACTGGACTGGACTCTTCAGCCCTGTGTTCCAGACCCAGCTTCTCTGAGCCTCAGAGTTTCCCCAGGTGTGAAGTGGCTGCGGTCCCTACTTCACAGAGTGGTTGAGAGAATGCCACCACATGCCTGCCATTGTTCTACGTGCTTCACGTGCATTATGAGCTATTTCATATATGCAAGGAGGTGCGCTAGGGCTGTGATTCTCATAGAACAGGACAAGTGGCTGAACTGGGCTTTGACCCAAGGAGCCCGGTTTGGTGGCCTGGCCCTTCCCCACTGTTCTAGATTGAAGGGAGGTGTGGGCCTAAGTGTTTTCATTTGTGAAAAAACTGCTTCCTATTCCCTTCCTAAGCATAGACTAATTCTCCAGACCCCACATTGGGCTGAGGGGTGGGGTCGGCCCTTGTGGTGTCCATGAGATGACCCTTCAGATATAGTGGTCAGTGTTAGGGCTACCAAGCCTTGGGTTTTCGATCCAAGGGGACCAAGAGTCACTTCCTGCTCCTTTGTCTCACAGAAAACACAACACTTGGGGCCTGGGAGGGACTGCAGAGCTAGCTGCCGCGCGCACACACACACACACACACACACACACAAGGTTGTCTGACAGGTGAGGGAGAACCAGGAGCCCCAATGCTTGACCAAAGCAGGCAGCTGTGGGTCTTTGTTGTGAGCCCTGCACTAGAAAGCTCTCTAGTCTCCTCTCCTGGGCTTACCTCCCAGAGCCTTGAAGAGGCGCGAGGGAGAGAGAGAGAATACGGGGATGGAGCTGTCGCCTTGCGAGGGAAATTGTCTCTGAAAATCATATGGTGACAGGTATCGATTCAATCTCAGAACAAGACACTTCCTGGTCAGGTGGGGGAGGACAGGCGGGGAGGAGGTGAGAGCTGCAGAGTTATGACCCCGCTGAAAGACCAGTTTATTAATTCGGGCTCTAACAAATAGCCAATTAATGGCTCCAGCTGCTAATTAGTAAGCAGTTAACTCCTGTTATAAATTGTGCTGCTCACGTCTAGTGATAATGCAATCCCGGGATGACACCCCCCGGGGAGGAGGGGTTCCATTGCCCAAAGTCAGAAGCTCCCTAAACTCCCCCTCGCCTCCTACCCACTCCCCACAGCCCTCTGCTGGTGGAAGGCAGGCTCCTGAGAGCAAGAACCGTGTTGTATATTCTTCCTTCCTGATAGTCTTCCTTCCTTCAGGAAATGCTGACTGAGGACCTACTATGGACCAGGCACTGAGACTCCAGAGAATGAAACAGTCAAGAATCTGCCCTCAGGAAAGTGACATTCTTCTGAGACAGACAA